GAGGCAGAACAAAAGCAGCTTGTGGTATGAGATGCGATATGGCCGTATCACAGCTTCAAGGGCACATGAAGTAAGTGTTTGTCATACACCAGATGGTTCATTGGTGGCTTCTATCATGGGGGCAAAAATACCTGATACAGCTGCAATGAGAAGAGGTAGAAATTTAGAACTGTCTGTCCGAAAGACAGTCAGTAATATATTGAAAAGAAAAATCACCCCATGTGGGCTTTATGTGTGCAAAGAGAATCCCATGATTGCGGCATCACCTGATGGTTTAATAAAAGGTGCCGTTATTGAAATAAAATGCCCTAGCAAGGCAAAAGCAAAAGACAGTTATTTGAAAAACGGTGTTATCACAGAAAAATGTAAGGCACAGGTGCATCTGCAAATGTATGCAACAGGGGTAAAAAAGAGCTATTTTTGTGTTGCTGATAGCAACTTTGAAGAAACGAAAAATGTTGACATTATTTTAGTGACATATGATAGTGATTATGTTAATAACTTAATACCAAAGTTAGCTACTTTTTGGCAAACAAATATTTACCCTATTTTGTATGGTACCAGTCTGTGATTGTTGGCGACACGCTTTAATGTTTATTATTTTTCCACTTTTATCCACTCCACATATTTGAATTAATAACAATTTATGTAAAAAGCAAATGTATTTCATATTAAAAAATAATATATGTTAAAAGTAAATAAATTCAATATAATGATATAAATCCCCGCTTGTCAAAAATCTGTTTATAAATTAACTTAAGTCACGCGTTATGTAGTAATCAGGTATGTAATACGAATAAAAGAATTGCATTGTATAAGACATTTGTTTGAGTGAAAACATGTTATGTTCTTATGATAAGAGATAAGTTACATAATGGCTAAATGAACAGAGATAGCTGTAATATTAGATAGAGATAACTCTAGCCACCTACCGTGATGCTGAGGGTCATGTAGAAATTGGTTGTTCATTTTGTATGGGATTAGAACTGGCATATCAATAATGTACTAAAATTTAAAAAAAAAATTGCATTTAAAGAAACAATTATTTTATGAAAGTTTCAATAACATGTAAATGTATTAAATAAATTAGAGATTTAATTAGTATTGTAATAAATGTTACAGGATTATTGTATAGAATAATAAGATAAGAAATGTGTTGTGTTATGGCTAGAATAATATTAATATATAAAAATTATAATACATTAATAATATTAAATAAAAATTATAGTTGAAATAAAGAAGAAGAAGCTTAGAAGCGTCAGTAGCCTAATGGCAGGGCGCGGACCGCGAACTCGTAAGGTCGTGGGTTCGAATCCGCCATTCGATTACTGTCGTGAACCACTTCTAACACAAGCATTTTAAGCTTACCAGAAGTGGTTAAAGGGAATATTAGAAAGGTTTAATAGCATTACTAGTATTTTTAAAAAAAAAATAAAGAGTTTTAATACTGCTTAAAAGTTTTAATTTTTGAATTAAACAATTGTATTAAGATATTCTTGCTTATTAATAAAGATCATTGTTTTGAATGTGTGTGATAGATATTTAAGATTTATGACTCTAAAAATAGCTTGTAAAATTGTTATATTTTGCTAAATATTTGAAAATTTTTATGTTGCCCCGAGTTGCACACCTACTCAGGGGTCAGGGAACCCAACGTCGTGTGGTATTAGGATCTGTGAATAGGACACTAATTGGTTGATCTCTGCCGCAGGACGGGCGATGGAGGCCCGTTTTTCCTTTTCAGTGATAATGATTAAATAGAATAAGAATAGAATAAAATAATTTTTTATTCAATGTTGATTATTACATAATACTTATTGAAAGTAATTTTTTATTTACCACTGGTTCGGAAAATACCTCAGTCCTGGGAAGAACCAGCAAGAAACCCAGCGGGACTTTTTTTTTAAACATAATTTCACTTAAAAATAATTTATTTATACAATTTTTAAATGATTTTTCATAGAACCAGCATGGTGGCGATCACCCTATTCCCAGGGGTTATTTTCATTCATGTATTCCTTGATATTATAATAACCCTTTTTGTACAGTTTTTCTTTAATAAAACTTTTAAACTTGTTTATTGACAAACTTTGAACATGTTCTGGGATTTTGTTGTAAAAGCGTATACATTGCCCCATAAATGAATTACTGATTCTGTGGAGTCTAGTTACTGGCATTACAAGCTTATGTTTGTTCCTAGTATTTAAAGTATGCACATCCTTATTCTTATTAAAGCTATTTATGTTTTTATGCACATACATTACATTCTCATAAATATATTGCGATGCCAAAGTTAATATGCTTATTTCTTTAAATTTTTCTCTGAGGGACTCTTTACAATTTAGGTTATAAATCGCCCGTATGGCTCTCTTTTGCAAAACAAATATAGCTTCAATATCAGCCGATAAAAATCATGATGTATTTCTTGTTTTATTATTTATGATTTCACATTATTTAATAAGAGAATCCTGCAAATTTATTAGAGCACATGCAATAATAATGACATGATCAAGTACACGACATATGTTAGTATTTATCACTGAATGTTGCTTTAGCATATGGAATTCTCTTACTCGCCTAATTACCCTTTCAATATGAATTCGCAAGCTAGCGATTATTTTAGTTTGTCGAACTTCAGTTTTTGATAACTTTGCACCAGCATTTACACTGGGTGGCCTTAATAGTTTTATGCCCTTTTCATGAAGTATCTGTTCAAGGTGCTTGAAGCCTCTGTCAGCTAAGATGCAAGTTCCCTGTTGTAATCCATCTAGAAAGTTACAGTTCTCTACTATGGTAACATCACTTGCTCTACCCCCAAACCCTTGAGAAACATAATTAACCAAACCATTAGGTGTGCATGATATTAAATACTTCACAGTATTCCCCTTTTTGTACTCTGACCATGTCAGAGCCTGATGAAGAGCCTTTGATGGTTTTTGTATATCAATTTCTAGACAATCGATGATGCAGCTTACATTATGATAGTTATGTCTAAATGCAATAGGAAGATTCCTTTTTATTAAATTTTTGTCTAAGTTTACAATGAATGGTTTTAAAAAACCACTTATTATTGGTAAGTTTCTTAAAAATAATTTACTGGCATAAGATAATGATATACCAAAATTATCCTCAAGTTCAGAAAATGTGCTGTTTAATCTAATTTTTTTCAAGCATAGCAAAATATGTTCTCTATTTATATTTGTGTGTCTATGCAACAACTCAATTAAAAAATAACATTCTTTGGAAATACCAATATACATCAATGGTTTCTTTTCAATTAAACGCAAAGTATTTTTGAGGCACTGTAATTTTTCAATATTCTCTTTGGTATCTGTAACATTACTATCAGAGTCCGTAACCTTTACTGATGTAGTTCCAAAAGGTGATAAAAGACCACTTTCAAAACAAGAAATATCACTATCAGATTTTTCATCTACAAGGAAAATATTTCTCTTAACTGCTTTAACAACCTCTGACTGTAATGGTTGAAGATGGCATGGTTTAATATTAATTGGTGAAGTGAAATGAGATATTGTAGAAACTTTCCATGGTGAGGTAGAAATACTTTTATTTTGGCATCTAGTTTGCACAGCCTTGCTCCTAAAATGCGTATTCACTTTTTTTGTTGCTTGAACAGCTTTTTCTACAGTTATGATAGGGTCGGTGATTGTTTCTTTGTCTTGAGTTTTTGGTAATTCTGAAAAGACAAAAAACCAAATTAATTACTTAATTTAAATGTGAATAACATAAACTTAACTCATTTAAATGTGAAAAAATATCTTATGACATTTGTATTATATAGATAACATAACCTTTAGGCTCAATGATTTCTTGTATCATATCATCATTTTGTAAGCTTTCTGTATGGGTTGTAGTACTATGTCTTCGCAGACATTCTGTGACAATATCAATTCTTTGCCTTTTAAAGAAAACTTCTCGAGAAGGTCCAGCATCAGGTAGCCGACTTCTACGATCCTCTTGACAATGAAATTTAGTTGGCACAGCCTCATCTGCCAAAAGTATCTTCTGACTGAAGCCCATTTTGTACTTCAAGTAGTTAATTGTGTCCTTTTCCATCTGTAACTCAACATTATTGCCAATGTAAGGAGTGAAGTATCTATATTATGTTTGACAAGACAATAAACATTACAAGACAGCATAAGAAAATTATTAAGAAAGCTAAATAACATAACAGATAACATATGAAACCCTACAGGGAACCCTGTAGGGTTTGGGTGAAAAGTATCCTTCCAACTTATGCTGTAAGATTAAGCCATATTTGGAGGTTGGGTATTAAAGATGTTATTACTTTATACAAAAACCGATATTAGGCTACCATCTAGTCTAGTATATATAAAGTTATATATTACTTACATTAAAATGATCTTCACACATAAAAACATTGGTATGAGCTAAAATGCTCTTTGGGTCTCTTCGAGCTAATCGTAACCACATTTTTCGTCTTTTGGGATTCGTTGGAACAGAAACAAACAGTTTGTGTGGACTACTTATAGTCGTATTAGTACATTGTGGCACTACACACCATTTATACACCATTTTATCGAATAAATTTGAAGAAAAATAATAAAATTCACTTCAGCTGCACTGTTTTATTAGGGTTATTGACCTTTTTACTTGTGTGTGACGTCACACGGAATATGACCAGCGTCATTACAGAATAAGCGTTTTTGCCGCGGTTTTGGAAATTTAAACTTTAACTTTGATTTTTATTGTTAATACAGTAGATCTCTCGGAAATATCAATGTAGTATGCTTATTACGTAATAAAGAATCATTTAAAATGGTTTTCCAAAATTAGTCAAATAGCCTATTTGTATTTTGCGTAGATAGAGGATTGACTATAAGATACTATGTCTATGGTATTTTGTAGCTTGTTACCATAGATTACTGTATATATACTAGAGACCTAGAGACCACAAACTATATAGAAACACTACGCGCTAGAGCTTTCTACATATCTATTTATATATGTGTCAGTTTGTCATTTTCTTTCTTGTCGGTCAGGTATGTTAAGCGTTGGTTACATGTACCTCTTGACTTTCGAGTAAAATAATAAGTTTAAAAATCGTTTCTTAAATATCTATTACAGTGAATCAATTAATATTTGCGTTTCCGAATTTTTGCAGCAGTGTTCAAAAAGCAGTAAAAATTCGTCACTTGAATCAGACGACGTAAGTACTCTATTGATTTTTGTTTATTAGGCTAAAAATAAATAATTGAAGACAACTAGTATTCATTTTGTATGTCATTGATTTGATATGTAACATATAATTAATTTAATTAATGATAATTTGCCCCAGCTAAGCTAGCGTTTTATATTTTGATTGCGCGAATTGCTGCTGCGTCCGTTATGCGCAGGAATAAATCAATACTTGAGCAATGCATTCTGTTCTTTTTAGCCGACTTCAAAAGGGAGGAGGTGGAGGTTTTGTATGTTATTTTTTGTATAGGTAGGTAGGCATTCTAGATTCTTAATTTAAGGCCTACAACTAGAACTACCTACTATATTTCAAGAATTAAATAAAAATTAAAAAAAAAAGATAGGTTTAACAATATGTTAATACTATCAGACCACACGAATATTTAATACTTAAGAGGTGTATTGTGATTTCCTTCTGAATTTTAGTATACAGCAATGCCTTTTAATTAAATACGTAATAAATTAAGCCATTACATACTTTGCGGAAATTTGTTTATTTTATTATGTGAACTGCTCTTCAAACTAGGTAATGCACACCATTTTATTTTTTATTTGTATCGGCGTATTAATTCTTACAACTTCAATGCAATGCAGACAATTTGTTTTTTTTTCATACACATTTACATTATGATTGTCTGCAAATTATTTGCACCATCAATTCTAGACCCCTTTTGGACTTCAGTTTTTAAGGTGTATTACAGTGTAGGAAACTGTTAGATTACTTGCTCATCTCAAAAGGTTTGTGGGGTGTGATGTACTGGGGGTATGGTACAGCACTATAAGATGTGGGCAGCTGTAAAAACTAAATTTAAAACTTTTCAATTTGTACAGTCCAAATACCATACATTTATTTTATGCTGACACGGTTCGAACCGCTGCACCGCGAATTACTTATAATGCACTATTTTCTAATTAAACTCAGTGTGTGTAATAAACTGCTAAAGTAACAACATGTGTACTTACTTTATATGTCACTCACATAGCTATAAACTAACTTAACTATCAAAGAAGCTGTATGAGTCGCAAACTGTGACCTGTACATTCTTTTTGGTCCTTCGAAGTCTCCGGCTTAATACTTATAAACTTAAAACAAACTCAAGATAAGTTACTGAATATTGTAACAGACACTTGGATCTTCTACTTATTACAGTTGACCCATCATTTACTTATTAAAAAATAAATAAGTAAATGATATGGAAACTGTAATTAAGTATCCCGCAAATAGGTGATACCTACTAGTTTTTGATAATTGAAATAAACTATACATGTACACTATGTTATAAACATCTTTTTAGACTTGATGAACATACAACAATCTGAATTTTTTTCTTTTATGATTGTGTGCCTCTCCTGTCTTCAGTCTCTTTAGATCATGGGGTAAGTCAGGCTTATAGATTACTAATATTTATTAGAGAGTCAGCCTTGGCCTTGCACATAGATAGTATTTTTGGAAATTTCTATTCATGAGGTGAGGTGCGGGGATAATCAATGATACGACAGCTTTGAGTGACGGCCTGTTTATTACTGAACACAACTTACATTCGATATTGATTTATATTAACCATCTTACTCCACTACACATACAGGGCTAAAATAAAAAAAAATACAATCGAAGATAAATTTTTTTTTGTTGAAATAGGAACTTAAACTTATATAAGTATACTCATTAAATTCATAGTACTCTCCACAATATTAAGTTTCATTATAAAACGAAAAACACACTTCTATTACTTAACATTAGTCTATTAGTAATTTAGCAATTACATGGAAGTGTAATTAATTTTATTAATTAAAAATATATTACTTATTAAAATACAGACATTTTAATTTAATTAATTTTAAATATGTGAAGAGGAAACTTTGTTTTCCCTTTTTAAGCATATTGTGCACAATTTGGATAAGGAGTGCAGAAAGCTACAATTTCTGTATAATATATGTCACAATAGTTGAGCATAGCGTTAGAAATCAAACTATAAAACTATTTAACAGACTACTTAATACTCTAAAAACCGTAAATAATGTTAACATAATATTACATTAGACATGTACAAATTATCCTCCTACTTGGAAAAAAAATACTATACAGTGAGTGATTACATTGCATTTGGTAAAGAGTACTAATGCATGCATAATTTCATTATAAATTAATTTCAAGACATTTTGATGTAAGTATGAATAATGTTAATTCATTTTATTTTATATTTCAAATTCAATAATGTTTTCCCAGATATTATATAAATATTGTTTTTTGAATAAATTACTATGACTGTCTACAAATACATGAAATAAAATAAAATAAAACATCATTTTACATTAAGTACTGAAAACACATAGTAGTCTGTGGTCTAAATCTGTCGTCAAACAGTCATACAGTGGTATATATGTTATAACTTTGAGTACAGAATAGAGATAATCGCCAAACAATATTAAAATATTTTTTTTTCTTCTTTATATGGCCTTTCATATTGTGGTTAGGTTTAACAAATGTTGCCAACAAATAATTAATGACTGAATGACAGAATGAGCTGTGAATTATGTGTAATTTCAAATGTTTTTATAATAGTCTGTGCCGTGTATGTCGAAGCAAAAAAGCGTTTATCTTATGTTTTAGAAATCTGGGTTTTATATATTAACTAGTAATCCGCCCGGCTTCGCACAGGTAGATTTCTCGATCTCAACATCAGCGTCGCCTACAGGGTCTGCAATGCAAATCTAAACCATATAAATCAAAGTCTTGGTGCAGTGGCTTAGCAATGAATTGCTGCGCTGGGATCCGTGGGTTCGAATCCCGCACGGAACAAGTATTTGTATGACCTACAAATAATTTTTCCGGGTCTGGATGTTTGTCCTTGTGTAATTTGTGTATGTAAACTGCTTTCACGATACAGGAGAATATCCTAATGTGGGGGGCAGGGTTGACTGATTTAAATCAGTCTGATTTAAATCATGATTTAAATCGCCTGATTTTGTTTAAAAAAAATCTTTGATTTAAATCAACATGTATAAATTAATGTAATAGGCAGAAAATGAAATAAAACTGGCTTAAAATAAAGTAAAATCTTTTGTTGTTTTATGTTATTCTTATTATTCTACTACAAGTCTCATAAACTTTGGAAAATCAACAAAGACGTAGCGATGAGATCTGTCAGTTTTAAAATCAAACTTTTTATTTTTTAGAAAGTCACTCTTATTATGTATACTAGCTGAGCCCCGCGGTTTCACCCGCGTATATCACGCGTCTGTGGCGCGCGACATGATATGACACCTCGCTCATTTAGTTCAATCATTTTAGCTAAAAAATTTGCAACATTGCGACGCGTATTCTCTCTGACTTGCAAGACGATATTCAGTTTCTGATGAAAATTCTCCATTACGATGTATTTTTAATGCCCTCTCTTGGGAACTATTTCTGGAAAGTTGAGATCTTGATCTTTTGGGCATTTTTCATTTTTTAATCATCAGCAGGTAAAAACAAAATGATAAAAAAATTAAAAGTGCCCTTGTACTAAATTATTTGCTCAAGTGTTAAACAGGAATTACCTATATAAAAATGTAACTGAAAAATTATAAGTTACTAAGCTGTTTGGATAGTTAAATGTACAATATTTATTTATCAGTTAGTGCCTACTGAATATAACATAAAAAATGGGTTTAGTTCTGAAAATAACTTTTGTTTGGTTTTAAAAATATGTTTTTAGTTGGGTTTAAATTTAATCAATACCTACTAAATTAAATAAAAGCGAATTCAAAATATTAAAATTATTGGATTCCGCACACAACCGCTTCGTAGGGGGCCGACTGCGCAAGTGGGCCGCGCCGTAGGCATGGGTAAAAAATATCGATATATCGAAAAATCGTTATTTTTTAATAAATATATCGATATATATCGTCGATATTTTAAATCACGATATATCGACATAACGATATTTATTTTAGAGTATCGAATTCGTATCAATTTCGATATATTTTAAAATGTTTTATCGTTTTTTTCGTTGTCCAACCGTCAGTAGATAAAATTTTGGAGCTTATATTATAGGATGACGATATATCGATATTTATCACGCGATATATATCGATACTGTTTAAAAATATAGGTTCGATATATATTGATATATTTTTTCCCTTTGCCCATCCCTACCGCGCGGTAATTAATATTTTGGCATGGACTCCCCCTTCCGCATCCCAGTGACACACGCATCGCATGGTGCTGGCAGTGTAAGGATTTTTCGGCGTTACTATTGAATATTTTAACATGGAAAAGTAGTTATTGTGAGATAACTGTAATAGTTAGATATATGGTATCACGGACTTTTTTGTAGATATTGATGTCCTCTATAAAACTGTAGCGCATCACTTTGCTTTATTGTCAATAGTTTCCGCAGCGTACGCTTACGTTTTTCAAATCGGTCTAGTAGTTTCGGAGCCTATTCAATTCAAACAAACAAACAAACAAATTAGTGTATATGTAGATGAACTGTAATTAATACAGTATGTATTAATTATTTTACTCTTAATCAGTTTCATACATATCTATACAAATAAATAAAATTGGAGTGTCTGGTTGTAATGTCAAAATTACGGTTTTTTAATAAATGCATATAAAAGTATATACGATACGTATAACAAAAATACATTTTTTTAATTTTTGTCTGTCTGTGTCTGTCTGTTTGTTCCGGCTAATCTTTGAAACGGCTGGACCGATTTTGACGGGACTTTCACTGGCAGATAGCTGATGTCATAAGGAGTAACCTAGGATACTTTTATTTTAGAAAAAGAATTAGAGTTCCGTGCAATAAAACTAAAACCCCAAATAACACGCAGGCGAAATCGCGAGGAACAGCTAGTGTATTCATAAACTTTTAATCCTACTATGTTAAAAAGTGTTACCAAGTAGTGTATTTCCGAATATACAAAAAAATCAAAAAATTCAAAAAAATCATGAACTTTTTCCATCCCTGGTGGGGGGTAACG